AGTGTGATTTGTAATCTTGTGCTCCTTATGTATTAATTCTGGTTGTGCTTACTGACCTCGAACCTATTTTATGTGGTACACGGCGCTCAAAAATCTGTCAGAATGTTTTTAGTACGACTTTGGTAAACTACGAAGCCACACCTGCTTGATGGATTAAAAAAAATGAATTAAATGATCCACCCACATTCATAATACACATTCACCAAGACGCCGAGGCAACGCTGGTGTTCTGTCAAAATGTGCTGCCCTGTCGAAATGAGCTACCCGCAGCCTAAATCAAATGTAACATCAACCAGTTCACATTATCTTGTCAAAATAAGATCCTTTACGTTTTTCGTTTTTCCATGTACAGTTGAATAGATCCAATAAAGCCTGACCTCCCCAGTTTTACAACATATTTCTTTGGATTAGAGACACGGGTTTGATGCTTTTTTGTACACGGTGATCACACTTTATACCTTAGTTATGTACAATTTCAACTCATTTATACGAACATGTGTAGGTAGTACATTTGGACAGTCGTATTCTGCTCCAGTAGGGTTCTGATTAAAGGGAGCATATATCGACAGGACAATTTAGCCATTGAATAATGCTCCTACTGTGGAATCACCATTATTCACTCATTTAGATGAATTTGGGTAGAGGAGCTCATTTCGACAGGCCTATATATTCTATCAAATAAGGCTCCTGCTCTAGAAGCAAAAGAAATGACTAGAACCACACTGAAATCTTTATATTAAATAAATATAGGCCATAGTGTGAATTTTCTATTATAATATAGTGATATATTATTTATACAGCATCTTTCCTAACAAAGTGACAATGTTTTCTACACATGGAAACAAAAAAATACAATGTAATGAACATGAGAACGATAAAATCAAATAATGAATCCAAACTATTCAATCATCTAATGTAAGTATTCTGCTGCAAATCTAACTCAACTGGTCCAAACATACAATAAAACCAATGCACTTTTAAAATGTGACTTGTTACTCCACTTCTGCCTCGGACACTCAAATCGATGGGTAGCACAAATCGACAGAACACCGGATGAGTAACGCCACTATCTGCCAATGGATCGTGGATGCCTGGGCTAAGGATCAGTCTCAAGTGTCGTTTGTTTGTTTCGCTTAATGCACCTTATAATCCGGTGCGCCTTATACAGTCGTCCATCACTATATCACGGTTCACTTATCACGGTCTCACTGTTTCACAAATTTTTTTGTGTGCAACTTTTTTTTACAATGTATGAACGCACATTGTGTTCCTCCCCCTGCGTCCTGATTGGCTAAGAGACTGCAGACCACTGTCGATCAATCTCCTCTGTGTCGTGTCTCCTGTACAGTACAGAATGTGTTCAGCTCACCAAATTTACATAAATGTTAGATCTGTATCAGTGTGATTCTGAAGTGCTGTATGTTTGCAAGTTTTTTCCCGACAAAACCCACAATGTCAACGAAATGTTCTGCACTGACAAAGGCTCCTGCGGTCAGACCCAAAAGACAGAGGAAGATGATAACCATTGCACAAAAAGTTGGACATCTGGACACGCTGAAGGAAGGTAGAAGTTACACGTGTAGCAGAGTCCTGCACCGGGTCAGGTACCCGTAAATAGTTGATGAAAACGGCGGGTTTTAAGGTTCGGGAATTTTACGGGCGAGTATGCGGGCGGGATTACACATGGGCGAGTCAGGACTAAACCAGAACTAAACCAGGTCTACACCAGAACTACACCAGAAGTAAACCAGGACTAATCTTGGACTTAAGAGAGAGAACACCGAAGCAGGGTGTCCGTAAAGCGCGATCGGGCGACGGCCGCGTTTACCTCCGTGAGGTGCTGACCTGAGCTGGTCCTTTCTCCTACTGTCACCTCTGAGGCGAGTGCGGTGCTGTACTGTGTAGTGCAGGACTCTGCGCTGTAGGGCTCAATTACAGAATAAATTAATCTTCAGTTTGTTACATAAAGAAGGAGGAAACTAACATAAGGATGACAGCAGCAATAAGTTTTAAGAAGGATGCAAAAATGGTTGTAACTGTCCTGTCTGAGAAAAGTGTATAAAGTGTGTGCTGAGGGGTTTTACAGCCTTAAAATAGATAATAATTGTAAAATATAAAGTTGACTATTTCGTGGATTTCGCCTATCGTGGGTTATTTTTAGAACATAACCCCGATAAACGAGGGACCACTGTAGTTCGAAAAATACGGTAATAAAAAAACACACCCCACCACAGATACGCAGACGAACGCAGCAAAGAATAAACCAGTTTTAATCCTATGTTGCTTTGTAGACTTAATATGAATTTGAATGTTACAAAATAAATATTATTGCAAATATTTCTGTAACTAATACATTTTGAAAGTATTTTTCCCATCATTGGCAGTTATTTGATTTTAAAGTTATATTAAAAGTCAAAATCAGGATAAAAATGTGCATCAACATACTGTATTAGACCGCGGCACATATAATAACAATAACAATAACACTAGTAGAGTTAAACTTGAGTCCTCACCTGTTATACAGCAGGAGCAGATCAGCAATAAGGATATGAAATGACTGAAGCCAGTGGATTTGTACTATGCTCTTTATAAAACTAAATATAGGCCAAGTAAACAGGATTCGTCTCTGTTGTGTAAGAATTTATCGAGCGCGTCTGCAAATATTACCATTGCTTTCTGCGATGTTTTGGAGACTTGATTTCCTGACCTAACTGGGTTTATTTGTAACATCTTGTCATCTTGTGGGCTCTTTCTTATTCTTATTCTCTGGTTCTGCCACTTAGGAGCTCCATTTGCATTGTCATTTATCTCAGCTTCAGTCAGTAGAAGGTTCCAATCTGACCTCACGCACTTGCATTCTTCCTCTTTTGTGGTTAACGCTCGTCTCCCTCGCTTCCAGGTAGTAGAAAAAAAACTAGTCTTGTCTGTGAGTTACACCTTTGTTGTGACACTGACTGGTATTTCCAATCATTGAGAGTGTTGTGGTGCTTCTATGGCCACGTGTATTGGAAGCTCTGGGATGTCTGTTGCAGTGATGGGTGGTGGTGGATGACAGTAGATGCTGGTGGATAGTGGTGGATGATGGTGGAAGGTGGTGGAAGGCAGTGGATGGTGATGGATGACAGTGGATTGCGGTGGACAACAGTGGATTGTGGTGGATGGCGGTGGAAGGTGGTGTATGACAGTGGATGGCGGTGGAAGGTGGTGTATGACAGTGCA